AAAGAATATCTGGAAGAGGAAGCTCGAATTCGGCGAAGTACTCCTCTAGGTAGTAATAGGACACAAAGGCACAATGGTGATAATTTTGAAGTGACTGTTCGGATTCTAGCATAGGAATCAAAAACAGCGTGCAAAACTTTTGAGGCGTTTTTTTGTGATTTTTTTTTTTTGATACACGTCCCTATGGATGGGTTTCACTCGTCATCAGTCATACGCAACAATTGGGTGGTCTAACAGTACGGTGAGGGTTCCCAGGATCGGCTTTCTATTAACCTCGGCATTGGAATATGAATGTGTCGTTTTCTTGTTCAGCAATCGCGAGGTTTTTAAACAGCATACATTTACTTCCATAAAAACACAATACAATACAACGCTAGCGGACGTTTCGGCAGTATCGCCTTCTTCAGAGCCTGGAAGGGTATACTGGTATACATTCTACTAGGCCAAACGCTTCAATAACACTTACAAAAAGACGAAAAACTCCTTGGTAATTACATGATCAACAATTTCTCGAAAAACCCACCGCTTTTCGTGACTTCCAATGAGGAAGTTTAGAACAGCTGATTATAGTCGCATATGGTTTATAGCTGCATCATCCCACAACAGAAATTGATGCAACATACGGGGTCAGGTCGCGTATGACCCCTGGGCATTCGTCCCCTCTATTCATTGTAGGGTTTTTGGCATTTATCCAAAAAGCCTCAAGAAGTTTTCGCGCTGGTGTTTTGGACTCCTGTGAAAAGATATTGACTTTTACTTCAAAATCGTCTTCGCTATACTTTTGTATCCTATGCGTATCTGTATCCTTGTATTCTATGAGAGTATATATATATGTATATATATCGGCTATATATGCCGATGTGTATAGAAAGTCGATTTTCTGAGTTATTTGGAAGCTACTTTAACAAGTTTTCAGATATGGCAAGGCGTCGTGGTTATTACACCAAAAAAGGTATTTCAAATAAAGCTACCTTTTTGATTTTTTTGCCAGTTGAGCAGGTTTTCCTCACCATAGAAAAAAATATGTGATGGCGCGTGTGGCTCAGTGGTTGGAGGCGCCACTGCGATACGCACGTGGAACCGATCCTCGTGCTTATGGCCCACCAACCCTTCCATTCCTCCGGGTCGGTAAATTGGTACCAGACCTGTCTGAGAGGATAGCAGCACTGGCTCGATACATTAGTAGGCCACCACGAGTCATTGTAAGGACCAGATATGCATTCAATCACCTCCAAACGATGCTTGGTGAAGGCGAATGTGTGGCGCATCCCTCAGGGATTGATCAACGCCGAGAGCTTTAGAGGTTTTAATGCTGTTATTCTTTCAAATCCTTTGAGTACTGGACCAACAGAGGTACTGCTAAGAACTACGCTTCTTACAAAAATGATGGCGTGGTACCGAAAATACTTTTTAACTTTTACGAATTTTACACGTGATGCAACTTGGCATCCATTCTATTTTAGGTGCTAGCTACGATGAAGACGAAGTCGCCTGAACTTGCGGCGAAGGCGGAGAAAATGCATAACATGATTATTGAAAAGGTTGATGCACTTGGGGATGAGGCTAAGGCATTCGTCAAGGGGGTGAGAAACGCAATAAAATTTTTATCCTGAGAAAACTGAAGAAACAATGAATAAGAAATTGGTTAGAGGTCAAAGCAGATTGAAAATGCAAGGTTGAAATTGTCCCAATAAGGCTTCAAGATTCGGGTTAAACTATTTTCCGCTGCGCAAAAGAAAACAAGGCAGCAATTATTTCTAAAACCATGCCATAGTTGGTCTACACAGATTTTTATCTAAGGCAGAACGTTGTAATTAAATAAGATGTTTTTGAATATGTCTTGTTACAGGTGATCAATGAAGCGCGTAAGATTCAGTGTTTCGTCGTGGCTGGTGAGAAATCTCACTGAACGAAGAAAAAAGCACAAACGGTCATCAACAAGTACAAAGCGTTGTCGGATAAGGCTAAAAAGGATCTTGGGAAACGTTTCGCAGCCATCACCTCTGTTTTAAACAGACAGTTCTTTATTTTCTGTCAAATATGACAGTGATAGGAAAATAAACGAAGTGGACACTCTAACGGGACGAGTTGTCTCAGCAATAGATTTGTTCTAGCTCGTCCGTAAAATAAGAGGTCAGAAGATGTAGCTACTATCAGGTCAGCTCGGCAAGATAATGTGTTGATTCTCTTCCTTTCTGGTCAGTTAAAAACTGTATTCCAGATGAGAAGTTCCAGAAAATGATCGAGTCGCTGCAGACCAAGAACTAAATTGGGCTGCACACTACGGCTCTTTGCTATTTGTCGGCAAAACGTGTAGTATCTTTGCTGTTGTTTTTACTTGGATACTTACTTGGATACTTGGACCGCCCGTCTTCACGAGTTGTGCCGACCCAGCACATATACCATTCGCTTCTTTCTCTCGCAATCGTAGTCCATGGTGGTGATCTTGTTCGAACACGGTAGCGCGTGCGAGTCTCATACCGTGATCTGTAAAACAACTACACCTGCGGGTACGGCTGACTAACTTTGTTTACGAACACATCCGCCCGACGTGTAGGTAGTCGTCTTTGAGGACGTTTGCATTCTCTTGGATTTCACTCGATTGTTCTTTTCGTCTATCTCCCGTCTGTTCTTATTGACCAGCCCATCTATCTTTACTCTTTTTGTATGTCTAATTAATTTTAATAAAAGAAGCCTTTGACTTCCAAGAGAATGCATTCTCACCTCCATTTATTTGTCTTTCCCACTTGTGTTCTATTTTTGTTCACTAAAATATTTTTTAATGAACTACCTGGAACTCTAAAATGCAGCATTGCAGGAGAAGCACTGAAGAAAGCCCGGGAATGTCTGCATGAAATAAAGTTGAGGGAAAAACGGTTTTAAAAAATCTGCGAAAAACACTTTAAAGCAAAACCTGAAATATCGTGCTGTAATGGTTTTTTTCTTGCAATAATTTCTTCAGAGCAAGAACGGTGCTGGTTAGAGTTGTTGTTCAACATACAACCGATCGTTGATAAGGTACTCAATGCTGGCCCGTCCTTAATGCCTGTAGAGTTAGCAAGTTGGTATTAAACTTGCTTGAAATGTGTTCAATCGGATAGTAAAAGACCTTCGACTATCTGTGGTAAGGATTTTCGGACACTCTCACCGTTCCACCCTAAGATTCCAGTGAAAATTACTTCGACGAGCATTTTGAGATAACTATGGGGAAAACAAGGACATGTTTTGTTTATTTGTGACTACGGGGTATACATGCAAATCCATGCAAGGTTTTTATGAATAGATGGGAAATGCTAAGGTCAACGCAGTTTATCTCGTGTATTTATGCTTGAGCCTTCTATACGTCTTCATAACACGGCCCAGATGCCCACGATCGATACTCCAAATCTAGAACATAGAAAGAGAATCGAACTTTTGTATTGGAGAGTACCTCTCATGGCTCGTCTTTGTTGTAAAAAAAAGCTACAAATAGGCCTAAATTTGCAACGGTGATATAAGAGCACGATAAGTTGGATTCCTCCCAACGCTTTACTGCCTCATCGTGGCCGAAAGGTGTTACTTGGTATCGGGCTGTGATGTACAGCGGGGGGATTCGTTTCCTGGCAGGGTTTCCCAAGCTGAGAAGGAGTCCAATGTTTCCATCAGATAGCCTAGCTAAGAGTGAACCAATACCAGGATCCACTACTGCCTTGGTAACAAGCTTTTCATATGGTGGCAAATATCCCTCTGATCCACAAGGACTGCGACTGCCTGTGGTGGTGACGACCTGGGACAGAGTTTGGCCAGGCTGACCTCGGAATTTCAGGGAGCCACAATGCCTAAACGAACAAATCTTCGAAAAATGGCGGTTATTCTGGGGTCCGCACAGTTAATGAGGATAGGCCATCTAAGTGTCCAAGTATTCTATTGAAATGTGTAAATTTTTTTGTATATTTTCAAGCGCAGAATTGAGCTTTCCCCAACCAACAGCAGCATCTGTGGCTTTTTTAAACTTATTATTTACTGCCTACTCTTTTTAACGGCAGGCTATACATTGTGAAATATAACTTGAATGATGCTGAGATATTTGCAAAACTCCGGACCGCAGGTGTATGCGGCGAGGAACGAACGCGCTATTGTCCTTTCCGGGGAGTAGCGCGTTCACCACCACACCATGCGGGTCCTTCGTTTCGCCTGTCTCTCAGCTAGTTTTATCGATCTTTTGCCATCAGCAATCACACGTCAGCGGGGCTACTTCCTGGAAAGGACAATAGCGCGTTCGTTCCTCGCCGCATACACCTGCGGTCCGGAGTTTTACAAATATCTCAGCATCATTCAAGTTATATTTCACAATATATACCCCATCGTTAAAAAGAGTAGGCAGTAAATAATAAGTTAGAACTAGCTTTTTTATTTGTTGTCTACTATAAATAAGTATTAAATTGAAATAAGTAATAAATTTAATGCCTACTATAATTTAATTTTTTGAGATGTAATTTAAGTCTTTTCTACAATTCATCCGTGTTCACATCCCATGAAATCCTCTAGTCGTTGGAAAATTATTGTCCATTAAAAAACCAGAAAGCCCATAAAGGCTGAAAATTGGGCGTCTTTCAGTCCTCAACAAACTACAGATTATGCGTTGTTTCGAGAGTGTTAAACAATAACACGGTCTAGCTGGTCTACCATTGGTAGCAGCACGGCACTCTGCTAGGCAATGTGTGAAGAGCCGAGCCATTGTATTGAGTTGTACTACGGAAATGCCTTCCGGGTATTCATGTTTTACCAGGTGTTGTTCTATTCTTGATCGACGAATATAACAGCATCTAGGATTTCAAAAGAGGGAACCGGCTGCGCGACATAACCACCCTTTTTCTTGTACGAGGACATGAGGAGTGGGTCATCGGGATTCAACTCTATGTCTGTGTCGTTCTTGTTTTTGGGAATTGGCTTTTTGAATTCAGCGAAATTTACTCTTTTCCGCGAGAAGTGAACTATTTTGCGGCTAAGACGATGGTCCGATCCCATATAGAATTTTGAGGCAACGACATCGGTTACGCAAATCTTTCGATTTACGATGTTGTTGTCTCTTTCGCTGTGGTAGTTTCCATTGGGAGACTGCAACGTAAAACGTTAAAAGCGAGGCTTCTGGTATTGCGAGTTACTATGAATAGTTGCGGTCGTAATAAATTTAGACAGTCGTCCATCTTGCTCGTTCCGCTCTAATCCGCGGTCTCAATGTGGCATTCTTCTCTTCTAGGCTCAATCTCAGCGTTAATGTCTCCAGTGATAACCGTAAAGAACTGGGTGGTCTTCTCTGTAGAACTTCTTCACATCCATATAGAGCTCTTCGACTTCGCCTTCCGTATAGCTTGCTGTCGGGGTTTATATGGCGAACATTGTTAGATCCAGTATTGATCTACATCTCTTCAATCGTAAAAATCCGATGGTTGTTAGTCGTTCAAATGAATCGATTTTCATGGCCAAACTCATGTTGCTAAAGAATGTTGACGCCGTCGACTCCCACGTTGTCGCACGTTCCGAGAAACAGTTCTTTTCCGGTGTAGTAGACAACGTTGAATGAGTGACGCCTTCTTTTCTCGGCCATTATGATGACGTCGCAACTTATCCTCTTTATCTGCATGGTCAGATCCTTCATTACGGTCTTAGATGCGACTGAGCGTGGATCCAGGTACAAGTCATTACCATAGGTTCTTCGAGACTCGGACAACCTAAAACGGCTCAAGGCTGTAAGACTTTAGCGGCCTCTCCCCCTTTCCCATCAGAAGCTCTTCTGGGATCAGGGTAATTGGGCCTACCGTAATAGTTTTACTGTGTTTAACGTTTGATACCGGTGTATGGCAGCTTCGAAAGTGGAGGCTAGGTTTATTCTCAAGTCGCTCGCCAGTTTCTCTCAGAGTAGGCGAAAAAGCGAATTTGTTGGAGGCAACCCCTAACCAATTTCCATTTACTTCGCACTCACTCTATTGAAGGTTTTTGATCGAATTAACGTGTTTATGACCAACTGTATAGACGATAAGACGTCCTGGCATGCATCGATTAACACGTCTACGAAACACAGCAGTTTTTTGTCATATCGATGCTGCAGAAACCAGGAGTCACTTCAAGTCCAGGAACAACCTGCTTCTCATCGAAGCACATGTTCGCTTTTGGTCCGCATATAACTCTCTATCAGCCACTCGGAGATGCGGCTGATATTCAGGGAAACCCTCAGTGACAGAGATCCGTGGAAAAGTGACATTACCCCATCAGCTATTCACGAATTCAATACAACTTCGTGTCCCTGAATAAATGTCGATGATTCGTTATGTCAGCAATTTCCAATCTCTTGCTAGCTTAATCATCTCAAAAGCATTGGTTATTTATGCCGAGTTCTAACGAATTTCGGCTTTGTAGAAGATATTGTCACACGATATGCTAGCCATTGAAATGCCAAGTGCTGCAGGATTCACTGACACCAAAAAAGCAGTCCTATTGGGTGAGTGCAATAGGTCAAAATCAGGACTCTACAAAATGCTAGCACCGAGTGAGATTCTTTATTTGAGCAATGCTCTCACCGTTAAATTCGACTCTATGGGGCAACAAAAACCCACATCGTGAAAACAACTACCTTTCGATCACCGACACGAATTAAACAGGCTCTGATGAAAACAAAGACGTTGAAATGCTAGCCGAATAACTTTTTTTTTTTACTAACCTTATGTTGACTAGTCTGAGAACATATTATCAAATGGTAAATCTTCTCAGATCTATTCTCTGCGTCTAGAAAGGAGTTCAGCTAGAAAAAAGCCGAGTTTGGAGTGTGCTCAGCTATTATCATAATGTTGCTGAGATATGAGAAAAATTCGGAACCTCTGGTGCGCTTCGAACCAAAGATTACGCTTTCCGGGGGCCCACATCTTATTCGCTACACCACCGAGACTATCTGCCAGCCAGTTTCTAATTGTAAGGGCGCCATCACCAATCCTCCGTTAACAGGAACAATCTGAGAAGCATTAATCGGCACTGAAACTACTTAAGTCGAAGCTTTAATCGAAATCACGATGTTTAACACTTCTATTTACTACCTATTATTTTTTGCACAAACCGCAGCATTATTTCAGTTGTATTTCACATAATATCCTGCCATAAAAAACGATAGGTAGAAAATAAAAGCTAAACAAATTGTAAGCTCATTCAAGTTGATTACCGTTCTGGCAGATGAATGTTGTTCATGAAGCGTTAAGTCTTTCTCTTGTTCTGTTGACTGCTAGTAGTAGTGAGCAGGAAACCACGTTCCTCAGCTCCTATAGGATTCGTGAACAAAAAAGCTTGCGTGATGAAAGCTTCTGAATATGGGGTTTATAAGATTGAGCGAAAGCCGACATTCCTCTCTAGAGAACATACCACCATATAAAACGCTATAACGTATAAAATGTCCGATTTTATTGTCTTAAGTTTCGTGTAATTTTTTTAGTAAAAATCCTGATCGCTATGTATGTTTGGTAAATACTTTCAAACACAAAATTTGTTTTTCGTTTCTAATATTGATATTCTTAAGAATTGCTGTTTTAACATTTTTATAAGCTTTAATTTTGATATGAATCAACGTGATATTCGTGTCCTTTTTTGTACGAGTGGAAGAGTGTACATAAGGCCACGGCAGAAGCTTGGAATATCATCAAGTTTAGGGTGAAGGTAGTGTTGGTGAATGTGTTACAACCTAGTAGGTGTAATAGTGATGAAGCTTGTGCTTGCTGGTTAAGATCCATTCTTTTCGCATAATTTATATTTTTCAACGGTGCTGAGATATTTGAAAAACTCCGGACCGCAGGTGTCTGCGGTGACAAACGAACGCGCTATTGTCCTTTCCGGGGAGTAACGCGTTCACCACCATACCATGCGGGTATGGCAAATCACTTTTTTAAAACCACTTTAAAAAATCAATTCGATGAAGTATTATGTTTTTCACTGCTACGAGTGGAATACGAACTATGTTTTCCGTTTCCTCAGAGCACTAAAAGTCATCGCATGGAAACCGATTGGAACATTCATAAGATCTTTGCTGTGAAAGCCTGAGTTTTCATTCAAAAGTTTAGGGAGTAGAAATCGTCGTCTAATGCAAGATATATTTTAGACAGAGACCAAAGTACTTGGAGTGAACTGCGCCTGTATAGCAACACAAACCTGTTTTTCGCTTCACGAGGAAACTGAATGACATAACCTTCCAGAAGAGAAAGTGTAAAAGCTCTCAAAGCTAGTTTTATAATATTAATAAATTATTTATAAAGGCCTTCTAACGGTTTAACGCCTCATCGTGGCTGGGAGAAGTTCCTGGGTGTCGGGCTGCGATGTACAGTGGTGTTTCGTTCCATGTCAGGGTCTCCCAAGCTGAGAAGGAGTCTGGTTTTTCCATCAGGAAGCCTAACTAAGAGTAAACCAACACCAGGATTCACCACCGTCTTGGTATCAAAGTCGCATGGTGGTAAATCTTTCTCTAATCCACAAGGGATGCGACTGCCTGTCGTGGTGACGACCCGGGGCAGACTTTGGCCAAGCTATCCTCGGGACTTCAGGGAACCACAGTGGCTTAGCCAGCAAACCTCCGAAAAATGGTGATTATGCTGTGGTCCACACAACTAGTGAGGATGGACCGCTTAAGTATCAAGTAAGTATCAAGTATTTATAAAGGACAAGGCTTTCGGCGTTAATCAGTCCTTGAGGAATTATCCATGCATTCGACTTTATTAAGAATCGATGGAGGTGATTGAATGCATATCTGGTCGGCGCAGTGACTTCTGGTTACCTATCGATGTTTCGAGTCAGTGCCGTTAACCTCCTAGACTGGTCTGATACAAATTTGATAATGGCGGAGGGATGAAAGTCTTGGTGAGTCTGGAGCACGGTATCGAACCCATGTGTACTGCAGAGCACACCATTGCGTTGAACACCTCCACCCTCCTTTATAATATTATATCGGCATTTTTGTATCCCCTACGAGTCAAACTTCTAACTGAGCTCGGCTTCAGGTGGTGAAACTTGTCGGGTCGTCAATGAACGTAAAACTGAAAAAAGAAAAAATAAAAAATAGCAGAAAATAGAAAAGAGGTGTGAGAAATTGTTGCAGCAACTTCATCTTGGCTCAGTGAATATGAAGGAAAACGATGATGTTCATTTGGGACATCAATCATCGATCATAGTTAAAGTGGGAATCTTAATGTCTCAGGATGCTGTACGAGATTTTAAAAAGCCGTTCGTTGGAGGCTAAGTTCATAAAGAAATACGAAACAACGGTAAAAGGATACAGAAGTAACCGCATCAGCGTTTTCTGAATGAGATTTATTCCCCTTAAGATCGGCGTGCGTTTCGGTCAGTAAACAATATAACTAAACACGATATAATTCAGTTAAGAGTGGACTAACATCGGCATTACAAATTTCAACCCATTTGTAGCATTTCCTTCGACTAGCTATGAAAGGTCCCATAAGAAAAGTTCGATGCTCTTTCGATGTTCTACATTTGAGAGAACGTGCGTCTACTGCTCATTCATACCGCGTGACGAGAACAAATGAAGAGTCCGGTGGGTTCCTCTCTGAGATAACCAAAGCTCACATACTGCGTTCATCTCAGCATTTCTCATCCATTAACAAAGATATTCAGATTTGCGTGTGTACACCGAGGCTAAGTGAGGACGTAGCTTTCTTCATAGAAATCGCTGTATGCTCGTCGAAGTGATTCTCACTGTAATCTTAGGGTAGCTAGACTGAAGTGTCTCTTCATTCTCACCGCAGCCAGTCAGATTTTTCTAATTATTGCAACGAACTCTTTTGAAGAGAGTCGAATACCATTTTACCAACTCCACAGAAACTGAGAGTTAGTCCATACTGAGGATTTAATCAACAACGTTTGCTTATTGTACATCACCTCTTACTGATCCGCTTTTTGCACCAAAGAAATCGTTACAGAAAAAGAACCACTAGAACGAGATATCCTCCCAACGGTTTACCGCCTCTTCGTGTCTGGGAGGTGTTCCTGGGTGTCGGGTTGCGATGTACAGCGAGGGGATTTATCACCCTGGCTGGGTCTCCCAAGCTGAGAACGAGTCCGGCGTTTCCATCAGGAAGATTATCGCGTGGTGGCAAATCTCCCTCTGTTCCACAAGAGTTGCAACTGCTTGTGATTGAGAAGACTTGGGGCAGTTTCGTGCTTTTTACTTTGGTTTTGTATTTCTACTTTGGCCTGGCTAACTTCAGGACACCAGAAAACCACTGTCGCTAAACTAACAAAACTCCGAAAAAGCGAAAATTGTGCTGGGACCACACAACCAGTGAGGATGGGCCATTCAAGTATCAAATAAGTAAGGACGGGATACTTCAAATTTTATATTAAAAAGTTTTCATAACTTCTTTAAAACGTCCTTCTCTTAACTTTACTTAACGCATCCATTCCCGTAATTTCTCCATTACTTCTGCAATGCTTTATTTTTTAGTTGCCGATAGTTCATTAATGGAAAACTTTTATTGAATGAAAATTGAAGACAAGTGAGAAAGATACATAGATGGAGGTGAGAGTGCTATGTCTTAGAAATCAAAGGCTTGTTTGAATAGAATTAATAAAAACAATAGCAGAGATACTACACGTTTTGCCGACAAACAGCAAAGAATCGTAGTGAACAGCCTAATTTAGTTCTTGGTCAGCAGCGATTCGGTGATTTTCTGGAACTTCTCACCTAAAACACGGGATTTCACGAACGAAAAAGTCGAAGAACCCACACATAATTCTTCCCAGACTGATAGTAGTCAGAACTTCTGACCACTTATTCTACGGATGAGTTAGAGCAACTCTGTTGCTTAGATAACTCGTCCCGTTTCAGTTTTCACTTCGTTTGTTTTACTATAATGGTCATATTTGACACCGAGCAAAAACTCACTCTTGAAAACGGAGGTGAGGATCGGGAAATGTTTCGCAAGGTCCTCTTTAGCATCATCCGACAAGGCTTTGTACTTGTTAATGGCCGTTTGAGCTTTCTCCTTCAGTTCAGTGAGATTCGGTTTGTTACCAGCCACGACAGAAGCTTGAATCTTCCGCGCTCCCTTGATCATCTGTAACAAGAAGCATTCAAAAAACGTCATATTTTGTTATAACTTTCACTGTAGACTCTGTGTACACGACTTTGGTAGATTTTTAGAAATAGTTGGAGTCTCGTTTTGTTTTGCTCAGCAAAAAATGCTTCATCTTGAAAGATTCTTGAGGATTTATTTTGAAAAATTTAACTTTGTTTCTTTCAATGTGCAACGACTTTTATACCATGCCATCTCTCCTTATGTCTTCAATTTTTCATTGGAAATATCTTGTTCTGTTTCTTACCTCCTTAGCGAATGCTTTAGCCTCATCCCCAAGTGCATCAACCTTTTCTTTAATCATGTTGTGCAGTTTCTCGGCTTTCGCCCCAAGTTCCGGCGACTTTGCCTTCAGCGCGGCTAGCACCTAAAGCGGAGCTGCGGTAAAGTTACGGCAACTGTGGGATTTGTCAAAAACATTTGTCCTACCTCATCCTCATTTTTGTAGGTAGCATAGTTCTTAGCAATACCTTTGAGCACTTCTTTGTCTGCGTCGGAGAGCCCAGTAAGGAAATCCTTAGCTTCCTTAGGAATCAACTCTGAATATGTTCAATTTAGCATTCACAAATTTTGGAGAAGTAGTAACATTGCTACCGGCACGTGTGGGCAGTTGTCGGAGACGCCTTTCAACACATACATGGGATCCGATCCCCGCGTCACTGACTTACCAAGCCTTTCATCCATATGGGATCGGCGAATTCGTACCAGACTTGTCTGGGGGGATGGAAGCACTGGCTCCATAAATCGGTAAGCCACCGCGAGTCGTTGTAATGGCCAGATATGCATTCAATCACCTCCAAACGATGTTTAACGAAGCCGAATGCACGGAGCATCTCTCAGGCATAGATCAACGCCGAGAGCTTTATCCTCTTTTTAGTAACTTTACCATCTCATATTTCCTTTTCATGGTGGTAAAAACCTGCTCAAGTTGCAAAAACGAACAAAATAGAAGCTCTGCTTGAAATCCGCCTTTTGCTGTTGCAATAATTATCATAAATGGCTTTGTATTATTCACCTCTGTATTCAGGTGGTATATCCTCGATGCTGTTGAAAGGAGCAGCCGAAGCAAGGCAGAGAAAGGCGGCCAGTGCTACGATGTTGAAGATCATCCCTAGAATAGCCGAAGAATTCCTTAAGAAGCTTCTGGACAGTTGAGAAGACATCAATGATTGAGGCTGTGAAAAGTACGCCGAGTGTTATCATGAAATTGAAGACAAAATGAAAATGATCGAGCGAAGTTGGTGAAGTTGGTTTGTGCGGCTTCACGGCTGTGATAGCGGCTTTTAACCCCGTCGTCGGCGAGGGGCCGAACCTCGAGGCATGAGGTGGACAAAGACCGCTAGTCAGTGACAATTTGAGTGAGGAAGCAGAGCAATGAAGAACGGTTAAAGGTCAGAGAGTTTCGAAGTGCTGTACAAAACTTCCTATCACTTGATGGATGTTGGTGACCCGATCAGAGATTGGGAAACCGAATCGTGTAGCACAGAAGTTCTAAGTGTTCTAGAGAAGTGTTCGCAATCGATTAAAAATATGTGGTGTTATAGTTATTTTTTAAGCTATGACGCGTGACCGATCGGAACTGAAGATACAGCTGATAGAAAAATGCAACACATGACCGACAAAATGGAAGATATTTAGGAAGCCACTTTTTTTTTGTTTAGCGGACTGAATCAGTAAAATTGTTATTCATGCTATTCATCACCGGCAGTATTTTTTCCTGAGTTGAGTCATTTTTCCTGCGTAACAGTGTGGCGACGAGTGGATTTAGTAACTGGAGAATTTTTGACTCAAAAGTATATAAATATAGCTCACGTCATCTGCGAGCGTAGAGCCCACTCTCATGAGCCTTCATTCCTTCCTGCCCACATTTTTTACATAAGGCCCAAAGTTTCTTTCGTGTTTTTGACGACGAAATACTCATAAGTGTCGTTTGACACACTCCTAGTTGGAAAATTTTTCGAGGTTTGACATTTGGACTCTCTTAGAATTTTAAGTAGGAGTAATTTAGACCTGGAAATCTCCACCGCTAGATATTTGGGCTCTGTCAGAATTATAGGAATCACCAGTTTACAATCTTACATGGTGCTTTGAATTTCTATAAACTTCTACTTTCATTCCTTTGCAGAATTTCGTCTCATTAGAGTCGTATAATGCAATCAAAATGCATACAAGCACACCGCGACTTTCCAACGCCGATATGAGTGATTTTCAGAATACTTTCTCTAAAGCCAGAAAGGAAAAGAAAGAAGAGTGAGAGGCTCAGCACAGAAGAGGAGCGGTGACGATCGTGTCAATCCGCCATCATCTCAATATTCAGTTGTAAAATGTCCCGGATTTTTCTTTTCCGCTTTATCATAGTTCGACGCCTGAACATCTCACTGATCGATTCAATTCAATTGCTTTGACATTGGTCAGGGTCAGGGTAACTCCTATGGAAACCCCATCCATAGGGGGAACTCCTATGGACTGTTAGATAACATAGATATCCCGGTTTTTGTTTATGTTTTGCGGATCTCAGCGGTAGCGTTCAGTAAAATTACACTGATGGAACAACGAAAAATCTGTTAGTATGACCTAATTTTTCCAACGTTCTCTCCGCTCTTTTTGAGTAGTAGTAAGTTGGTCACCAAAAACCACAAACACAATGACTGTTGGCTTTTCTTTTAAATGAAACCTACCAGAAACTAGGAATGCACCCATTTCAGGACAACACAATTGTGGTGAGCTTTCTTCTTGTAGAAGTTGATTTCTCCCGTTAGGATAACGAAACATGGTGACCTTTCCGATAGCTACATTTTTACTTCGGAAAAGAACTAATACAAAGTTTGTTTCCTCCATTTGTAGCCCGTGGAAATTCATTCCTTTGTAGTTGGAAGTTCAAAGCATTGCGGCGTTACCGTACCCCGTCGGCGATCGACGTTTAATAGGGCGAATTCTCAATTCTCAGTCCGAGTCGACGTCAATCATTCAACGAATTTGACAAATGGCTTTTTGTATGGTATCGTCTGAAGTTTATGTAATCCGTCATGGTCACGGCGGACACTGCTTCATTTTCACATCCCAGAAGTTTCGAATTTTTAATAACGTTGTGATTACTAGACAAATAATATTATTGCAGACAAAGCAATATTTTATTAAAAAACTAAAGCTCTCGGCGTTGATCAATCCGTGAGGGATGCGCCATGCATTCGACTTCATTAAGCACCGCTTGTGGATGATTGGATGCATATCTGACCTTTACAATGACTCGCCGTGCCCTACGGATTCATCCAGCCAGTGCTGCTATCCCCCCATACAAGTCTGGTATCAATTTGCAAACTTCGGAAGGATGGTAGGCTCGATACGCCATGGGCGCAGGGATCGATTCAACGTGTGTGTTGCAGAGCGCCTGCGACCACTGCGTCACATGCGCCTAACATTTTATTAGCTACACAAAAACAAAATATCTGAAACTTTGGAAGCTAAACTGTACTGGTTTGCATTTTCTAACTACTTTATCATTTCAAGGATAACGCGGTATCTCAAGGATAACCAGGTATCTGTAAGCGAATGCAGATATTTAGGTATAAGTATTAATTTACAAACAAGCAAATACTATTAAAAAAACGAAGATGTTGTGAAACTAACCGGCAAATCACTCCCAGTGCATTGAATCAAATACCATATCTGGCCCTTTCATCAATCGTTCAAGGTATGAAAATTTTCCGTATTTTTCATATCGGCTTAATATATTTATATTATTGAGGTTACACGAGGTTGATAAAGTTGTTTATTCGGCTAACGTTTCGACGGTTTCGTCCTCATCAGAACCGATGATCCATGTATGGTCCACAGTTGTCCGTGTTCTGGAGGTGGCGTCTTCGTCGAGCATTGAGCTGGATCCTCCTCAGTGGACCATCGCTTTCGAATGAGCCATACTCACTCGGCGACACTCTTTTATTATTATTATTATTATTATTATTATTATTATTATTATTAATTTTCAACCATTATTAATATTAAAAAATTGTTTACTATTATTAACTACTAATTTAATACTGCTTCTGTACTATTTACTAATACTTTTATTATCTAAAAAAGTTGTTCAATGTTTCATGCTACCGATTTGCTATGGGGAATATACCGCTGATGGCTTAACAGTTCATCCTCGATGGAAAACATTTCTTTACAACGAATTGCAAATGCAGTTAGAGTTGCACTCATTGATAATGTCGTCCAAGCCATGAAAGTATTCGACCCGAAGATCTGATGAGCAGAAATTATAGCGTTGGAGAAAAAATGTCGTCAAAAGGCAAGAAATCTCCTTCCGATCCATAAAAGTTCGTACATTCCGTGATGATAACCGAAGAAAGTCCGTGTTAAATCATACCATGGTCCTATAGGGAAAAAATTTTCACTACAGGGGTTTGGTAAGCTTGGACCAAATGCAGCCTTAATCTTCTTCGCATTAACTGAAGTACTCGTCGCATTCTTCCTACTGTGAAAACAGCTTTAATGGATTCTTCGGAAATTCATATTTATAGAGATATCAATACCAGGAACCACCGTCCTGGTATCAAATTAGTCGCATGGTGACAAATCTCGCTCTGATCTACAAGGCCTGCGACTTCCTGTGGTGGTGACGACCTGGGGCAGACTTTGGCAAGGCTGACCTCGGGATTCCAGGGAACTACAATGGCTTAGCCAGCAAATCTCCGAAAAATGATCATGCTAAGACCCGCATAACTAGTGAGGACGGACCATACAGGTATAAAGTAAGTATACTGATAAAGGCTTGTGAATTCAAATAAATCTTAAAAGAGAGTGAGAATACGAATACCTGGAGACTTCAGATACCGTCTCGTTTTCTTGCACCCGTTTTCTTTTTTTTACACCTTCCTAGAAGCACCGACGCAAAATTTCTGGATAATTCGAAGAAATTTACGGGAAAATTTCTATATTGTAAAAATAGTCGAAAACTCTTCAGCGGTACGCTTCAGAATATTGATCTGTTAAACACTACATTAGGGCTATGGTATGTTTTCAGTGAACCGAAATAGAACTAGTGGCACTATTCTTATAAAGAAATTCTCAATCTGTTTAAAATCACCATTCATCTCTGACTCAGTGAGTCTTTACAACGAGTGCGAGAAGATGAGCTTATCAATCTGCTACTGATTTACATTCCTATTGATGTCTGGATTTGAGTGACTGGTGAGTTCAAGTTCTCCAGCCGTGTTACACAACACCAGCAACTGCCCTTTGGCGTACTTCACCCGACCAGGTGATAGATGATCGACAACGGAGAGCTCATCAACTCTGAATGGGTATATAAAACTGTTTATTCTTTTCATGATTCCTTCACATTTTCTTCAGCAACACGCTTTCCTACGGAGGGTTACCGTAGCCCGAAAGCGAACAATATAAATCTATGAGATAAATACTTTAGGAAGAGATTTCTTTGAATGGCCATAAATTCTAAAGCTATTTGTGCTCAGTTCCGTTTCCGAGCATTTATCTAGGAAGAGTTAAAACTTTGAATAGAAACTTTTTATAGTTTTATTTAAATTCTTGTTCTTTAAAAATATTCTTTTAGTGGCAAATTCAACAAAAAGTGAGAAAAATGCTCTTTTCTCTATAAACTTAGTGCATTTGCGTTGCTGCCTTGAAAGTAATCAGTTGACGCTTCGAGTGTAATCCTGTAACCTAACCACACCTGATTTTGTAACCTCACGCAATCGAAATCCATAAGCATTTTTATGAAAGGCTCGCAAATCTCGCTATCGGCTTTGCTATGGACTCTACCATAACCCTCATTTTCTGTTCCTCATCTTTTTTTTGCCTGTCATCAATTATATTCGATCTTTGCCCACCATACACTGGTGGATGTGGCTCTTATTACCAGCTGGCACTTGTCGCCGAAAAAAGATGGTAGGAAGAAGGAAAATGTAGAAATTTGACAGAGCAACTAAGGGCTCAGTATTCGCTTTTATAACAGCAAATTAAGGTGAAAATAAATCGAAGTAAAATAAAAATATTAGTAAAAGTTCTGAAACTCGGGTGAGAGACTGATTAGACGTGCTCTGCAACACGCAAAGGGTCACTTGTTCGATCCAAGGCCCAGCTAATG